AATTAAAAACAAAATAGAAGGAAACATGAAAAGAAATGTGAATAAGTAGGCACTTCCTAAGGGTTATGAGAGAAAGAAGGAATTGAAGTACTGAATGATCTTTGGTATATCTCATTCATAGTGCTACAGTTGAACACTGATAACCTCTCCTTGTTCTGATATTTGAAATCAAATAGTAAACAAAGGCGGAAACTGGAAATTGAAGTTACGGAAATCATGCATCAATTCAGCTCGACTTAATTCAGACTACCTCAGGTAGTTCTGGTCATTCAAAGTCTTGTGTATTTCTGAACTTGTTGATTGATTAGAACATAAATAGACTTCTCGATCAACAAGAGAAACATGCTACCACGACGGAATATCACAATTATGTTGTGCTAACAAATTAGAATGCTTTTAACACTTTTTATTTTTAATTCGGAAACTTCCTCTTTTCACTCAAATCTATCATATTTTCAGTGAATGCAAAAGAGAATTTAATTTTTTCTTAGGCTGTTATGATTCTTTTTGAATTTTTTGCTGAATAATATTAATTAAACTTATAAATTTCTCTTTTTCTTTTTTTCAAAAAAGGAGTACTGTTCTTCAGATAATCTTTGAGCAGTTTCAAGATTTCATCAAAGTGGCACTTTTTATTTGTAATCATAAAATTGGAATGGTTTTGTTTTTCAGTCCTATTTTTGAATCATTTCGAGAATAATAGCAACAAATAAACCATTAAACTAAATTGCACATCATTTTTTCAAAATAACAACTGATTTAAATTGTCATGCGTTTGTTTCAATTTTCAACTCAAATCACTCTGTCATGACTTCTTCATCATCAACTGAGAAATTAATTTAGCAAATCAGAGAACTGTGCATATCGAAATTCAGTCGTTATTTTGGCTTAAAGTAATGTCCTTATAAAAAATGATGTGCATCAAATATTATTGAAACATCCGATGAGATCAAAATCGCTGATAAGAAAGTTAATGAATTTCAAGTCAGACGGTTTGATTCCCAAGCAGTTATTCGTAATTTCATGGACAGATACTCACTGTTGTGTATAGTGCATTTTACAGAGAAGACGAAGCAAAGTTTCTGGAAAAAGTGGCACACCTTCATCTGTAAGTTATGCTACTTCCTGTTTATATTTGTTGCTTGTTCATTCTATCATAGTCTAAACCATCCTGGTTTTATACTTATTTGACCTTTTCTAAATGCTGATTTTTGTGAACCATTTAACACAGAAATTAATCTTATCGTTGTACGCACAGCTCTGCGCTGTTCATATGAACATAGGTGTATGTGGTGCATATCACCCTCATGAACTAGACTATCATAGATAAAACCATTTCCGTCTAATTTGAAAAATTTCCACATCAATGTTAGCTAATATGAGACGGTAATACGGTAGTAGTATATGAAGTTCTCACTTTTGATACTGCTTGACTTGAGCTTTTGAGTTAGTTAATTTTCCATTCTATAAGTAATCAACCTGTTAACAGAAGCGCATATATCATCATATCTCGCAGACTTTGGCTAATTTCTTGTTTTGCAATCAATTCCTACCTTCTATCTAAAAATTTCACTTACTTCAAGTTCCAATCTTCTCGTGAACCATGTTGACCTTTATTCAATTTTATCAGGTTTTGTTTCTCGCTCATGATAGACAATAATGTTAAGTCGATTGAAATGAGAAATTTCAGAGAAGATGCGCGTGCTGTTTCCGAAATAGCAGAAGAAACTAAACGCATTAAACAGAGACGACATCACTCCGTCCAGGAGCCGCAATCTATTCGTTTTTCATCCATTGATAATTCCGACACTCTACGTGTAGGGCTTTCATTTAATATGAACATAATTCGTCTGAATATAATTTCTTCAGTTCTAATGTGAAATATCATTAAATATGAATGTTGGATGAGATTCAGGCAGATCAAGTTAAACTGAGTTGGTGTGAATAGGAGGGCAAGGATCCGCTCAAGGATTTTGCTTCTTACCACATCTGATAGTATTCTATCTCAATTATTGTCTCAAATTCGTCTCTATTTTTAGCCTTTCTCTAAAAGCACGTCAACTTCTTTTACGAAAATGACGAAACCTGAGAGAAGCGGTGTGGATTTTGTGAATACTAAAGATGATGTTAGTGACAAGAAAATTTCGAAATGGTGTGGCTTATTAGCATCATTTTCTTCTGCGGGAAATAGTCGTCAATCATCGAAAAAGCCACCAAAACGACGGATGTCTACATTTATCTAGTTATTTATTATTGTCCACTATAGTGGTTATGAATAATGCCCCAATAACCTCCTAATAAATGACTAAGTTTTTGATTGATTCCTATTCGAGAGATGAAAGACGATTAAAAAGTGAATGAATATAAATGTTGTTTGCAATATTATTGGTTCATTTTTTTGTGTAGAACAAAAGTGTGAGAATGAACAACGAAAAAACTGTTTTTGGTTCAAATTTGACTTGGGATTTAAGTTTTAGAACGAAATTAGATTTGCGACACAGATGGTCAAGTCAAGTGATATGTTTTATTTTTCTTGCTAGGTACTTCACAGGATATTTGTTTTTCTTGTGAGCGTCGTCAGTAAAAAGTTATGCTTAGTTCAGACTCTAACTTAAAATTAGTAATAAAACAGTAATTATTGAGGTCACTCTTAGTATAAAAATTAAGGAATTTTGAAAAGTCATTATTTTACATCAATTAACATCAATACGTTATGTTAGGCAAGCTTAAGTTCACATTCATTGAATCAGAAAGACTCGATACTTGTTGAGTGGAAATGTTTATTGATTTAACGAAGTTTTTTTTCACCTTTGCATATACGAATATTCTCATTACCTAATTTTGAGTAAAATTAATGTTTACTGTGAAATCTTTTCGTTAAATTAAAATAGAAAAGTACACCAATTTCAAGCAATGTTAAACTTTGAAAGATTGGTTTTAGGGGGATTGTAACTTGAAAATTTCAGACTTCGAAGAAAATCTGAGCTCTGTATTAGAAGCTTTTCTCCAAAGGTGTAGTTTAGAAAGTTAGACAGAAAACAGGATATTTTTATGCCTTACTGAATGTTTTTAAATTAAAGGGCCTGAAAGAAATGTTTTTGAGGAATTTTTTTTTCCTTTAAGTTTTAAAGGAGAATGTATTTGAAAATTGAATGACATTTGCTAGTGCGTTATACTTTTGGCCTCATCCATACCACAAATCCATAATTCAATTTTCACAAACCGGAAACTCAACTCTTATATTACTACGAGAATAAGAATGCTTCTAGAGTAAATTTATATTAATTAAATTTTCCGTTTCTGAAGAAAAAAAATCATTTCGTCGAGTCACAATACTATGCACTTTACCACAGTTTTTGTCTTAACCTTACATTTTTCACTTTTCTGCATCGTTTTGAATCCTTTTAGCAGCATGTACTAATAGCTTTAAAACATGGAAAAAAATGTTGCGAAATCACTTTTACATTTTCAGCTTAAATAATTTCTGAGATATTTTAGATTTTATTTTATTGAAAGAGGAAAGGCGCAACAGTTTGTTTGCTTGCAAAATTGATTTAAAATCCATGAGTGATGAACAGACCGTTCGGATAATTTTAGGATTTAAAGATATTAAACTAATTTGAAAAATTTAAAGATGTGAGTGAGTTGATCAAATAACCTTCACATAACTGGAAACTACAATGGTTTGTAATAAAAGAATGCAATACCATTGTATTTTTTAAAAAATAAAACATCCTCGACTACTTTATCTTTCACTCAAAATTAAACAATTTAAAAATTTTCGACTTCAATTACAAACATTGCAAAGATATAACTGAGGATACAGAGTAGTTCATTTCTAATTGTAACAAAATGCAAACAATGTTCAAACACTCAGCTAAACAATTAAGGAAGTTTTTACGGAAGAGTATATCAGAACAGAGAACTGTCAACGGATGAAAATGAGTTGGAAGTTATTCTGGTATTCTAATAGATAATAAACAGTCCAAACAACCGCTTATTCCAAAGTCTGTCTCATTAAATTATCGTGAAGTTGGACGTGAAGTTGAAATATGTTAACGTTATGTCTATTAGTGAAATTCTAAACTGCACCTTAAATTCGATAATTCCTAATAAGCTTACAAAAATGCTGATTCAAATTCATAGTATAATAGTATGGCAAATATTACAATCTCTATTTAATCTCAATCTCTATTTAATACTTTTGCCGAAAAGTCAGCTATCGTCTTCACTGGCCGAAACTGAAAACAGAAATTCGTTAGCAAATGCAAATATAATTTCTTATCTAGTTAGAAGTCCGAAAATTCTAGATGAAATTTTTGGAATGAATGAAGTACGAGAAATGGCAGTTATCGAACTGTTTCCAAATAAAACAACATATCTCTTTATCTCCTAACTCACATAAAGGTTCTCGAAGTGCATTATTAAGTGTCGGTCACATGGAAAAAAATTTGGCTTCAATTTAAGAGCACAACAAAACTCTTACAACGAAACCTGAAAAAAGAGTGTTTCGAAACTGAACATGATAAATTTATGACAAAAAAGTCTGACAGTCTCGATCATTTTCTGAGTTTCAAAATAAAATAAGAAAGCACATCTTTTGAATACTTCCTTAATGATTCAGAAAAGCCGTGCAAAAATGCCTATTAAGTAGAACGTGAAGGAGTTGAAAGATGCCCTTCAGAAGTTCTGGAAGGTTTCGGATAGCAGATTTGCCCATCAAAGAAATAGAAATGTCTTATTTTTGCCGATTTTTTCTATGAATGACAAAATCAGTTGCAGTAATGAGAGACTTACCTACAGTTGTACTCATAGAAATATGTTTCGTGAGGAATACAATGCAATCATCAGGAAAATGGTTAGATTACAAAAAATAATTTAGAGATCATCAGGATTCAAACACTGAAGTATTCAACAAGCCAGCATTTATAATTTTGTTCTGAATATGGATTTTGAATGCGGATCTGAATGTAGATTCTGATCCAAAAAAGTAAGAATTCGACTTCAATCGAAAAGCAAAACAAGACTTCCCCGGTAAAATATTTCCTTTGATAAAAAAAACTTCACTATGGAAATCCTGCTCATTTGTTCGTCATGATGGATGAATCTTAAATTACTAATGAAATTTATTCCTGGAATCCCGCTCATTACTCTTATTAGCAGTGGAAACCCTAATCAACCGAAACTAGGATTGATATAGCACAAACTTTAACCCCAATTTAACAACGCAAGAGTCACTTTTATAAGATCGGATTTGATATGAATCAGATATATTGCTAATGTGAGTCTTATTTTACTGAAATACAAGAAAAATCAGAAAATACATTTTGTTCCTTCATTAATTACAAATGCTACTGGTAGGTGCGACTCTCTGTAGCATTTTCACATGAAGAGTTGCTTATGAACTTGGTACGGTTATGAGAAGTTGAAGATTCGTATTCCTGCAACTTCCAGAGTCTGACTTTTCCGTAAACCACCTCGAAAAGTTGTTAACTATGGTGAGACTGACGGAACATCATCCATCTTTACGTCTCTATCTGTCCATTGCTACAATTCATATTTCTTTTACAATTCGTATGTGAATAACACGAACAGTTCGATTGTTCTAAAAAAATCAATATAGTAAGAATTAATAGGCAATCAATTGAACATTGCAAAAAACGATAGTCAAGACGACACATTCAAGTTGAATGAAATAAAAGGTGACATAAATAAATTACTGATGAAAGTTCAAGAATTAAAATAGAGTTCCAGTGAATAAGCAGTTTGTTTATCCGAGACGATGAAATTAAGCTCCACAGTAATGAGTGAAGTAATTTGGATAATTCTTGATGCAATTTCGTATGACCTAAAAAGTAATTAGAGTATGTAACATTTTGTCTGACACAGATCAAAATTCCTAACCCTCGAGATCATAGAACAGTTTGTAGCGACCATACGGAAACAAAGTTAATAAATATTTTAAGAAATGCTTAACGAAACCTTGCAATTAGTACATCACCGAACAATAAATGTAGCACTTATTAAATTTTATCGGACATGCAAGTTAGCTGGTCAAAATAATCTAATAAATGTTCCAGAAAACTACACTGATTTTCCTAAATTTCGAAAAGAATAATTTATTTTAACTTAATATTCAAAGAAAGAAGAAATGCCAGCAATAAACTTCATAAAGAACGAGAAAAAAAAGCCACAACTGATGGACCCATCTGGAATCAGAAGGTTTCATTTCGAAAAATAATTCGGTTCACAGTACGAACGCGTATTTTCCAAGATTATAACAGAATATTACTAAACTTGTTAAAAAATTGTTTGTTTATATAGGCAGTGTTATAGTGTTTTTTACTGTTTCATCGCCTTAAATTTCTAAATGTAATAGCAACAAAGATATTTTGAAGTTTAACTCTGTGAGGAAAAAAAAAACATTAAAGCAGGGAACTAAAACACAGGATTACGAAGATATAATTTGTCCGATTAATTCAAATTCAAAAATGAATCAGTTGCAAAAATGGAACAAAAAAATTATAGATAGACAGCAAAGCTGTGTATATAACTTCGAAAAGCGACTGCAGCCAGATACATCTTCAATATTTAGAAATCTCCAAGCTACTTGAATTTACATTTGTTTTTCAATGCCGAAAAATTCGAAGTCTAACTTGAGAAAAAAAACTGAAAGTTGGTGGGAATGCAAAGAAATGTTATACTTATATAAAAGGATCATTTCGACATTCCATGTGGCGTGTATATTTTATTGCTGACATATAACACAACAGATAAATTATGGGATGATTCTTGAATGAGATTGAAAGTTACATCTATCGTCAAATCATTCCGTTTAATCTGCCTATTCCACGCCTTTGGTTTTGATAAGCACATTTGAAAGGAAGCAGCGAAGCTATCATATCAAAATGACAAATAAAAATAACGGAAATTACTTTAATCTTATATCAACTAGAACTCTGGACCGAAATTCGGAATAGCACGCCCAAAGAAGAGTTACAATGGATATTTGAACATAATGAAAAACAGAGATTTATGACTACATCGAGAATTTTGTAAAACTCCTCTTATTATTTGCATAATCATTCTTCACAAGACTGCACTCTAAAATGAACCAAGTATTATACGGTTTTCGGCTAGTTGGATTATGCGAGGGGAGACTTATTGAAAAATGGACCATAAAACATTAAACCAAAGAAGATGAGCGGAATAAAATTAGGTCATCCATCTAATTGATAAGTACGAGCAAACAGAAACAACCAATAGGATTCAGACTAGTTGACCTCAACTTCCACTACTCTGTATTTCGGCTTAGGTTTATTTGCGAACAGCATGTCACGTGAATAGTAGAAACCACGATTGACCCAATGTCCATAGACTTCAAATACAGCAGCCTCAGATTCGTGTCGAATCTAAATTCATTTTAAAGCAGGAGTGTAATTCACTATTCTAAGAGATGGTTCATTCCGAAATTTAAAAAATTTGAGGAATGGTATTTTGTTTTTATAACTGGAAACTGGAAGACTGGAAACTTCATTCTCCTTCCCTCCACAAAAAAAGAAAAAATTTATAAAAAAGAAAATTACAATTAAGATATTGCTCTAATATTTCAGATCACTTTTCTAAAATAACAGCAATACTTACATCACGATCACGAAATGGACGTTCTCTCAGAGCATCACGATCAACCAATAATTTTAATACTTTGATATTCGTTAGACGTACGAAAAATCGTGCCATTGTAATGCTATATTTCCAAAGCTTTTTGTAGTCTCGTTTTTCAACGATAAGTTTTTGTTGCACCACGCTCTTCTGAAAGATGGCAATCTTTCTAAGCATAGTTTTGAAATATAATTGAATATTCAAAGAATACTAGCACACTGATTATATCTTTTTGTTTTTAATGCCATGTCGCAAATTCTTATTGCTCCTGATACGAATAATTCATAACAAACAGTGAAGAATCAAATATCTGGAAACAACACTTTGGAGGAGTTTGTTACAAATAATATGGAAAATAAAGTTCTCGCCATAATCACGAAGTTATACCTTATTTATCGGTTCAGTCATTTGCACTGAAAATAAAACAAACCTTTAGAGTTACAGCAGCAGTTTTCATCCAGGGATGATGCAAACAATGTGCTGAAGTTAAACGCTGTTGAACGTCAACAACTAGCAAATGTTTGATCTAAAAAGTGCTAGGCACATATTTCAGTTTTTTGTTTGCAAAGTGATCACAAGAAGAATTACAACTGCCACAGTAATAATCAAAAGGTTTAAGATTTCTAAGCATTCCAGAATATTAAAAAACTCCAATAAGACACAAGGATCTGAAATTCTTCTTAAAAACTCCACCAATTTATGTGTCATTCAACACCAGAAACAGAACTAACCAAATCTTTAGCATCGGAAGTGATTTGAGACCACTGGTCTGCTCGAAATTCATATTTTGCTTCCTGTATCATGCGAAGCATCATTAGCTGTCGTCGATGGTAGAAAGGTGCGCAACCGGCAAGTCTGGAACAGTGACGACTCTCGATTAAGTCAGAATTTAATTTATCCATAGTTCATTTTCTTTAAATCTATAAGAAAATTTATATGTCAGAAAATCGAGCATCGCGCGTAAGCCTACCATTGTTATGAAAGAGTAGTTCATTTTTTTGCTGGCCTCTTAATCCGAACGAAATTTGTGAAATTTCATCTTGTTATAGGAAATGTTAAATTACATAAATATGAAATTCAGAAAAAATGACACAAGAACTTAAAAGGTATATAAAATGACACCAAGCGCCCAGTCATCCACTTCAACACTGTATCCATCCGCATCTTCGTACATCTGACATTTCAGCATTTCAGGCGCTAAATAACCAGGAGTTCCCAATAATTCTGAAAACTTACACTTGCTAAGCTGACACCTTATCTATACAAGAATTTTGCAACTGTTTCACAATCCAACCGGACATTTGACTACTCTTTCATTGGCATCCAATAATTTTTCAGAAATCAATAAAAGATATAAAAATAACCTTTCAACTTTTGTCCTGGTTGTAGCTGGGTAGCAAAGCCAAAATCGCTAATCACAATTCTTTCGTCATCAATACAAAGGATATTTTCCAACTAAAACTTTGTCAAAAGTTTTTTTCAAGAGACTACATTGAAAAACATAAACCATCGGCCAACACACCGATGTCTCAACTTATGAAAATGAAACTTCTATTGAACAAGTGATTATAAAGCAAGAAGTATAAGCAACCTTAATATCTCTGTGTACAATATTTCTATTATGCATATAAGCAACACCATCAAAAAGCTGTCGCATCAGACGTCTTGCTTTTTTCTCACTGACCGTTACAGACTTATTCAGAACATCGAATAGTTCACCCTTAGGAGCCCTGAAAAAAGAAATAAATGAACTTATCAGAGAGGTCTTGAAACTAAATAAACGATTTCAATATGTCAGGAATGTTATTAAAGTAAAATTTCATTTTAAAGAAACCACTGCAATAATCCTGCACCAACAACTTTTTTGACAAACAACCAAGATAATTCATTGTGACCAATCTCGAAAAAGCAACATGAATTCAAACAAGGATTAAAAATACATTATGATATACTTGACCTGTAAGCTCCGTGGAAGGGATTATTTTGTTATTTTGAGATTACAATCGCTAAAAACAGTTCAGTGAAATCGTTACAAATCAACCGAGGTATTCTCTCAGGTAGTACATCACAATGCTATCATTCAAAAACAAAATAGTAATCTAACCTCACTTGAGATAAATTCGATCCTCTATCGCTTTTAAGTGAGAATGAACTTACATTTCAAAAACAGCGAAAAGGAATGCCGGTGTTTCGTAAAAGTCATGTATATTAACTGAAAGTGACAAAAGTGAAAGAAATTAATGATCGAAGAACTGAATTTACGTTATATAAATTAATACTTACGACACCCTTAAATTCGTCAAGTATTTATCACCTCCCGAAAAAAAATGTGCAAACTTGAACAGAAAACATGAAAAATAAATATGTAATGGAGTTCAATATCACAGAGCAAAATGCAACTGAACTCAGCAGATCTGTTTCGTGTTTAAAACTCAACATTTGTCTAGAAAAAATTTTTCAAGACTAAAGAAGCTTCCCACTACATCTATTTCCTTATTAAAGAAAATTAAGGAAATGAAATTATAGAAAACTCACTAATTGAAGGATGTTCTGAAAGTTGTCGTAGTAAATTCACTTCGCTAATTGTTTCATTATACAATCGACGAGCTTCCACTTCTGACTGCCGCTCCGTACTAATATCAACAATTTTTACAGCAAATTCCAAACCAGTTCCTTTTTCAATACAAAGTCGAACAGTCGATGCCAATCCATGTCCCAACACCTCCAAAAACAATTTTCCCCCGATAAATGGATTCAAAAGAGAGACTAGGACCTGCATTCAAAAGAGAGACCTGCATTACGGTTGGATTAAAGAGAACAGTCTAGATGCCACTAAAACCTTAATAGGTTTTAAAGTGTTTCCTTTAATAAGCATTACAACACAGTAATGCTATCATCACGAGATACTAATGCATTTCAGCAGTACTGCTTATATATTCCACAAAAAGTAATTCTTGGCCTACGGAGATATATTTCCAATGATGACCAATCCCCTCTGTTCCAGCAACCGTTAAAACAACATACATTCTTTACTTCGAAGGCTTTGTAGAATTCAGATGTTGAAGTTTCCAGCGCTTCAGACTGATCTGTTTCATCTGTAATAACATAAATCTATTCCAGTAGTTTATTATGATTCTCCTACTGAAATTCCTATAAGAAGCTTTTTAGAAATAGTTCAATACTTCAAGAAGATCTTGGTCTACTCCAAGATTGGGTATTTCATGCGAGACGGAGGTAAATACCTTCACAGAAGAAAAAGAGACGGAATGATACCTCCAGTGTCCAACTCATCATCAAAATCGAGATTGTCAGTCATCACCGCTCTCCAGTGTTTGCTTCACACTTCTCAGACAGGCAACCGCTGGACTGAAATAGAAATCAACCACTTTGCTCCAATACACCCACGTGGAAAAACATCACTTTGTATTTGTTTTCACTTTACTGTAGAAATAATAAGAATAATAAGTATATGCAGTTTTCATCTGATCACTTTGACGCTGCTAATTACTTCGCCGATCTACGAACCAGGTACCTTCCCGGCAAAGAAATTAGAAATTGCAGAATGAGAGGGAATTTAATGCTAAACCAGAACTAACTCAAATCTGGATTATACAATTAAGTTAACACACGGGTAGCCACATAATTGAGTTAATCCCTGGCTAAATGCAATATACTTCAATACAGTTTCTAGTCGCGAAACCTGCACCACTATCACACAAAACACCAGATGGGAATAATTGAAAGTACGAAGACTTCAGTCCCGAGTAATACACTTTGCAAGGTCAATTCTAATGCATTCATGTAAGAAGCTGAACTTGGCATGAAATGGACTCCATCATTTTTAAAAAGAAAACCAACATGAATAAAAGTACGATATGTATTTCCTGAACATCCTGGTTAATAGTATCAGTGCAAACTGCAATACCAACAGCAACAGATTTACTTTGACTTCGCAAATATCAGTGCGTAAAAAAAGGTAAAACAAATTACAGAATTTCGGACAACTTCCTTTTATTACAATAACAAATGGAAATTTTTGATGTCCAAATTCTACGATTTTATTAGAACTTCAAATTTACCGCCATAGCTTCACCGCCCTAGTATTCTGTCAATCTATTTCCTTCCTCCTTTCCCAATTTTTCTCAAATTCAGAAAAGACCTAGTTCTAAAGTCTGAAGCGCTAGCATTTCACAGAAATCATAATATATTACTCATTCGCAGGAAAAAGATGCTTATGGTCCATCGATCACAGATCATCCCTCAGCTAATGCTGTGATAACAGCATAATGCTGTTATCACCCATAGGAGCACCCTTTCAACATTCTCGAGTTATTCAAAAAAAAAAAGGTTAAAATTACGAACGCTAAAACCTATGAAAATCTTTCCTAACTTGCACATTTGTAAATTGAGCAATTGGATCCTTTCTAAATTAGGAAATTTTGATCGACAGAAAAAAACCGCCACGAAACCTTGAACGGAAAGACGAAAAGAAAGCTATAATGACACGCATTTGCATATATATTATGGACAACGATGATTGAACCGAGAATGAAATAACTAAGGTCTTTCCATTCCCTCTTATCTTGCACCTTCAAATTTCGCAGGACAGTTTTCCAGTTATCATTTCTTTTGAAGAAAAGAAAGCAAAGAACGGTTTTTTTTCATCCTACATTATAATTGAAATTATTAATGAAAATCGCTTTTGAAGACAGTTGAGCAAATGCACAATTGAAAAAAGGAAAAGATGGAATTATACAGTACATATGATGGATAACTTTGAAAGGGGAAATCGGAAAAAACAATCCATAACCACAAAGGTGAACGTCTACTGGATAAATTTACCCTGCAGGCCCAACATAATCATTCGCAACTTTAGAAGAGTTATATACCTAGCAAAAATTATAGGAACGATATCTCAAAGCAGTCCTCTTCCAGTGCAGCCAGAAGCTGCATATCTTCCAATAAGAGATTAAATTTAAAAACAACGAAAGTCAGCTGGATATACGAAAATAAGCCTAAGATAAAGAAACATTTACGATAAGCTTTAGATTGTGCGCTTCCATAAAACATTCCGCAACTTTGCAGACATTCTATCCTCAATTCCACATGGTCAACGATAAAAACGCAGCCTTTGACTAGGAAGAAACATCGGCAAATGTGACGTTTGATGCTTATTACAAACAAATGATAAAGTATTATGTTTAAAAAATGTTGCGCTACTTACGAAATGAACAGATTCGATTCAAATCAGCTGTGGATGAAGATATCTAAAAGTAATACTCTTCAAAAACTGCAACATATCAGATCTATATATCAAAAGCATCTTACCTTCAATGGGTACTCTAATTTTAGCGAAAAAATGAGGTAAACAAAAATAAGGCATGATACGGTTAAAATTTACAAAATTCTCTTTAAACTTTACCTTCCTAAATTTGTCTCCATGATAGGAGAAATCAAAAACTTGTAACTATAAAAACCAGAAAATTCAAAGGTCGATCGAAAATTCCTGCGCTTCCTCACAACTCCATCACTGATCTTGTGGAAAATGTGATATTATTAAAACAACAAAAGGTGCGACACTTAAGGGGAAAACAAAGAAATGAATCAACGACACGAGCTGGATAAAGCAATATTAATAGTAAAGTTAACATCTCACATTAATTAAATTTCATACTAAACAATCATAGATTACGCCATTATCAAAACAGAATGGCATAAATATAAGCAAACAAAGCTAGTGAATATATAGCTGAAGTATTTCTTGAATAATATCGTTAGGGATTACTGAAAAATACTAGTTAAAAATTTCTTGTTTCGGAAATAGCTTGACTTCTTTACAGGAAAAAACATGCGATTACCATATTTTTACCATAAAAATCAACAAAAAAAAGAAAAAAGAAATGACTAGGACGCACTAAATCAATCAACCAAATATTTGGACACTCCTCATTCCTGGCTACTGCCTTACAGATTTCCATAGGAAGCATTTACTCGTTCTGTTAAAACATACCAGTTGATACTGAAAAAGATCTACTTTGATCTACTAAGTCCTTAATATAAATTTAGGCCGAATGGGAACAAGAAATTCCATCATTATTTGCAAAAACAGAAATACCATCAACAAATTAGAAAGTGTGTACAATTTTTCCGATGCATTAGTAGATATTAACAGAAAAGAAAAAAATTTGTTTATTCCTAAAACTGCTTGATATTACAGTTCTCTTTTTCTTGTGTACCTAAATTAACGCCGCCGCCAAACAGAGTCGCATCCTTGAATAAAAGATGGCAGCGATTCGTCAGCTGCGTCATCTGCAAAATTTTTAGCACAATTGAATTCAGTATAAAATCTTGCAAAATCTTCGCCACAATTCAGAAGAATTTCTAAGACAGGATTTTTAACTTAAATAAATATGACAAGATTATCCTATAAAACACTGCTTAAATTATAACTACGTATGAGACAATAGATGCAAATTATACCACTACAGTAGTTCACCACTACAATAATAATTTACCCCGCTATTTTCAGGCAAATGTCATTTCTTGTTCCCGTTAAATCCTGGATACAGGAAAATGGAAATTTTATTTGACGAATAACAACTCTTCAATAGCATAATAAGTTTCTAAAATCAGAAATTAGGAAATATACAAATAAAATAGCAGTCTTTAAAAGATTCTCCAAGATTTACGAAAATTTGGAAATGAAGTACAAACCTCATTAGCAGACCAATTCCCGTATTTACCATACAAAATCCCATTGTATAATACTTCAATATTTTTGAGCGTCACTCCAGTCAATTTATCATCATCTAGAGAGCACAGCAGCCAGTTCTTCATTACATCAGTACAATTTAGATCCAGGAATATACTGACCTCAGCAACTGAAAAGATCTTGTCATCAGTCGTAGATGTTAAAAATGGTAGTCAAGTAATTCCACAATCACATCAGAGTGGTTGATGAAAGAGACGTGTACTATAACTCAGTGGGAAATTAGAGTTGAAAAGTAATATTGAATACCAGCAAGTCGATGGGGGAATGAACTGATATTGGCTCTTTTGAAGGCAGTATTAAATTCAGAAGCCGACTTCGTGTTCGGGAATAATATGCCGGTTAGTTCGGCAGCTAACTCCTTGACTGTTCCTTCCAATTGCGCCTTCTCATCTATATTAAAAGACATATGTAAAAGACAAACGTGCGGATTATGGATAAGTTTGTGACTTCTACGTTATAAGAAATGACAAAGTTTTCGTAAACAAAAGTTCATACATTTATGATTATCGACTCTTACCTTTTAGTGCTGACTTTTTCCACTAGATATTACTTGTTAGATGAATGAAAAAAAAA